GCAGTTGATCTCATGAGCTCATACTGAGCAAAGCCTTTGGTGGTCACCTATAATAAATATATTTTTAAACATATTTATTAAATCAAGTCTCACTATGCTCAAAAGCTATTTTCACCAGAAAAGTTGTATCACAGAGTTTGCAAAAAAATTCTGAAATGCTCAAACTGAATAGATCTGGGCAGAGTTCCAAACAATATGAAACATCTTTAAAAGAATTTTAAAAATAAAATTTGGCTTGTGTCAGACAAACAATGCAGGTGTTCCATAGGTTAGATGCTGCACTTCTTTCTTGATTCCTGAATTAGCAGGACTCTCCCCTAGACTGAGACCAAGTAATGAGCACCAACTACAAAACTTCTTAAAAACCTCCCCAAAAATGCACAAATACAATCATTTAACTTGTATTTATAAACAGAAATACACAACATTGAAGAGCAGAAGAGCAGGAAAAACCCACCACAGATGAATGATGCCTGATTTTGTGTGCCTTTTTGAGTTCTTCTAGAGTTACAAAACAGGTTTTATCAGCTATAGGACCTTGAAAAGGAAAAGAGACTTTCAGAAAAAATGTTAACCACAACTTGAATGTCATGCTTAAATAGTGACACTGTTCTTCAGAATGCAATGATCCTTCTTGCTTTCATACAGTCAATAACAAAAATGAACAATGACATTTAAATATACAGTAAGCTTCAGTTACCACAGCACATTAGCATAAATGGAAGCAATTTAACTTCTTTAAGAAATTACCATGTCAGCCATGGCTGAGCACAGACCTGCATAAGAATTGATTATATTGATTTCAGGGTAAAAACTGGATTTGTTTGGCAACACCTTTTACTGGACCAATTACACGTTTGCATCTATAGCTTATAGCTTTATACAGGTTTATAGTTTTTCTATATAGCTGGTCCAATATTCTCTGGACCATCAGAGGTATACTAGCATTCCTTTGATTTCACTTTAAACTTAAAACAAACTTTAAAGTCTGTTTGTTCGTTTGTTTTTTAAACACCACTTGTCCTAAATGGAAGATTTTCTTTTTTTATTGTAAATGAAAATTTGAATCACGGAGCAAAGGTGAGCAGATGTCATGGAAAAATACAACAGTCCCAGTCATAATACTTTGTCATTCCGTCAGACTCCCCTTACTTAACTTTGTATGCATCATTATAGCTAGGAGAACCTTACCATTACATGTAATTGTATGGAGATTGATTCCTGTGATTTTGTTCCCAGTTTTGAGAGGTTCAGCTCCTAGCCAATAGGTGTGTTCAGGATCAGATCCATCACATCTTACCCACAGGGGAGGAAGCACAATTGGGTTGCTTATTTTCAAATGGGTCATGAATGGATTTTGCGTGATTGTATACAGTGAAATCAGCTGCCTAGATATAAAAAATAGAAAAGAAAAAACATGAGCAGGAAAGCACTCATTCAATCCTTTTCTAGACTCTGAAATACAGCTAAACAGTAAAAGTGATATATTGATCTCAGTGTATTTTACAAAAAAGGTCAGTCTTGTTATTCTCATTTTATAGGTAGGAAAAAAGAGACACAGAACTGGAAAGTAAATAATAAAACATTTCATTAAAGAACTACAAACACACCCTTTATTTAAGATGCATCACACATAAGTTTAACAAAGTTCTTGTTGTTTTAAACCCATTAAAATCATTTAAACCTTTGAAAATTCAGCTTTTCAAATTAAATCTATCTTGTTATCTTTCATTAATAATTTTTTAAAAATGCAGCCACTTTATCTTGGAAAAGTGACCACCACTTTGAGCTGAAGTTATACATCAAGAAAATATTTACATTCTAAACTTACACAGTAGTCGCCCCATGTGACTTAATGAGACTGGTCAAAAACACCTTTGAAAGAGTAGGGCTTTAGTATATCATATCTTCAAAGAATATTTCCAATGGGTATGAATCCCCCCACCCCTTTTTTTTTTTTTTTTTTTAAAAAAAA